CTTATCTTTTTCAATAATATCAGTTCACCTTCTTTCTATGTCCAGAGAGTATAAGCCAGTTCTGCTCTCACTCCCTTAAGGTGATTATGTTCTCATTCTAGGAATCAATCTAGGGCAGCACGGTGGCTCAGTGGTTAGCACTGCTGCCTCACAGTGCCAGGGACCCGGGTTCGATTCCATCCTCGGGCGACTGTCTGTGTGGAGTTTGCACGTTCTCCCTGTGTCTGTGTGGGTTTCCTCTGGGTGCTCCGGTTTCCTCCCACAGTCCAAAGATGTGCAAGTTAGGTGGATTGGCCATGCTAAATTGCCTGTAGTGTTCAGGGATGTGTAGATTAGGGGGATAGGTCTGGGTGGGATGCTTTTTGTGTCGGTGTGGACTTGTTGGGCTGAAGGGCCTGTTTCCACACTGCAGGGATTCTATGAATCTAGGGAACACTGCTTCTTTCCTTGGGCAGAGAGACCAAAACTGCATGGTACTCATAGTATACTGTCTACAATTGCAGCAAGACTGCAACCTCTTTCCAATAAATACCAATACATGATTTGTCTTCCTATTAGACTACTGCATGTTAACTTTGGGAGTTCTTCTACGTGAATAATAAATTCCTTCGAATATCAACATGGTAGACTGGTTAGTAAGGTTAGATCACGAGATCCGGGGAGCTGGCCATTTGGGTATAAAGTTGGCTTGAATGTAGAAGACAGGTTGGTAGTAGAGGGTTGCTTTTCGGACTGGAGGCCCGTGACCAATGAAGTGCCACAAGAATCTGTGCTGGGTCCACTGATTTGGATGTGAATAAAGGAGACATAGTAAGTTTTGCAGATGACACCAACAAAGGTGATGTAGTGGACTGTTAAGATTATCTCCTGGTACAATGAGACCTTGATCGAATGGGCCTATGGGCTGAGGAGTGGCAGATGGAGTTTATTTGGATAAATGTGAGGTGTTGCATTTTGTTAAGGCAAACTAGGGTAGGATTTCTACAGTTAATGGTAGAGCCCTGGGGCTGTTGCCAAACAGAAACCTAGGGGTGCAGATGCATTGTTCCTTGAAAGTAGAGTCGCAGGGTGGTGAAGGCATTTGGCACGCTTGCCTTCATTGGTCTGAAGATTGAGTACAGGAGTTGGGACATCATGTTGCAACTGTACAGGACATTGGTGAAGTCACTTTTAGAATTATGCATAATTATGCATTATTCTTGTCCTTGCATAGGAAGGATGTTATTAAACTTAAAGGTGCAGAAAAGCTGTTTTTTTTCAATTTACACATGAGATGTAGGCATCTCTGGCTAGGTCAGCATTTATTGCCCATCCCTAATTGTCCAGCGGGCAGTTCAGAGCCAACCACATTGCTGTGAGTCTGAAGTCACATGTAGGCCGTACCAGATAAGGACAGCAGATTCCTTTCCATAAAGGACACTGATGAACCAGATGTTTTCCAACAATTGATGAATGAATGGTTTTGTGGGCATCATTAGGCCCTTAATTCCAGATTTTTTTATTGAATTCAAGTTCCACAGTCTGCAAAGCGGATTTAACTGAGTTTCTGAATTAATAGTATAGTGATAATACCACTACGCCATCGCCTCCCTGCGCAAAGATCCCCACTTAAAAGGATGTTGCTGATACTGGAGCGTTGAGCTATAGGGAGAGGCTGAATAGGCTGGGGCTGTTTTCCCCTGGACTGCCTGAAGCTGAGGGTTGACCTTATAGAGGTTCATAAAATCATGAGGGGTACAGATAGGGTGAATAGCCAATGTCTTATTCCTTCGGTGGGGGAGTCCAAAACTAAAGGGCATAGATTTAAAAGGGGCCTGAGAAGTAACTTTTTAATGCAGAGGGTGATGCATGTATGGAATGAACTGCCAGAAGAAGTGGTGGAGGTGGGTACAATTCCAATATTTAAATGCATCTGGATGAGTATATGAATAGGGAAGGGTTTAGAGGGAAATGGGTCAAATGCTGGCAAATGGAACTAGGTCAGATTGGGTCGTCTGGTCAGCATGAACAAATTGGACTGAAGGGTCTGTGTCCGTGCTGTATGACACTCTCTTTATTAATCTCACCCATTTCTTAAAGATCTGTTTTCCAATCTTACCACCAAAGTGAATAATTTTGCACTTGTTGTATTTGGCACCTTGTTCAAAAAATTAATTGGCCTATATTCCTTTGTAGCCTCCTTACTGCTGACGTCCTACCCTCCTCTGTGTCATCAGCAAGCCGTATTACATATAGTCCACTTATGTAAGTAATAAAAATTCTACATAGTTTAGCTCAAATACTGATTCTATGGCACTCCATAATTTACACCTTGCCATCCTGCAAATAACCTGTTTATTCCTACTCTGTTCTCTGCCCATTAACTAATCCACATGTGAATGACTGACTGTCTTTTTGTTGTACTTTAATTTTTTGCATCATCGTACAGATTGTCAACAACATGATTTGAGCCATCAGAAACTTTGCAGTCTTGTCCAGGGAAGTAAATTCTCACACGTTATTAAATAACAAAAATATATCAGTGCCTTAGAACTGAATGCAATTACAATTTTCTATTCAACTTGCTAATGAAGGTGAACGCTGCTTTTATCAAACTGCTTAATTTGAATTATTTGTGCCAACAGTGATCAGCTGTATTTTGATTATTGAATTAAGAATCTCTTGCAGCTGTAGTGTTTGTGTGGATGCTTTGAGGTTTTAGACCTGTCCTGCGTGAAAGTGCTGGTGACTGTTCAATAAGATCGTAATCTGACCTAATATTTTTCAGTGAAATCTTGCTCATGATTTATTTTTAGGTTTAGTACCAGTTACACTGAAAGCTGGACCGTTAAGTTTAACCAGGGGGATACATAAGGAAAATGTTTAACATAATTTTTAATGATTATATCGGTTTTGCTTCCGGCAGGGTTTTATCTTCTAAACTCTTGCATACAGCATTGGCAGTCAAACTTCATCTGTGTGCAGATTTGCTCGTTCGTATAAATTGCTTTCCTCTCTGCTCTGGAGACTTAATTTATCAATTTAGAGAAAGGTACCCATTCCTAGTACATCTGGCGCACTCTTCTAATTTTGTAGAACCTTTTCACTTGAACCTCCAATTGTTGCATTGATGATCACTTCAGGTTTATATTTCCTTCGGTGAACTGGAAAATTGGACGAAGTGAATTATTTGATGCTGTATGTCTTGAGGTTAATTGTGTTTTTCAGTCTATATCAGTGTGCAAATACTGGTAATGCACCATGTAAATTTAGGTTAGTCTTGTCTGCTCTTTTGCTATCCATCTTCCTCCAGTTTAATCAAAAGTCTGCTCTTACTTTCAGCCACCAGCAAAGAGACTAATTGAATCCTACATAATTGCAAATCCTAAAGGCCGAACAGTGCGTGTCAGAATATTTTCTGTAAACATTTTTGTTGTGGGTTGATTTTCTCCTGCCTTAATGAAAAAAGAACTTTGCTGAAGTTGCCATTGGTACTCTTAGTGTAATAAACTGATGGTAATGAAATATAATGCAAAAAACATGCAATCTGCACAGCCAAAAGCTTATACGCGATCAGATACAACACCATATTATGAAAGCTATCACACTGATTTATCTAACAGGACTGTTTTCTTTTTCTCTCTGGCTGAACAGTGAATATGGTGCCAAGCAATTAAATGTTTGCATTTTTCTTACTGTGATCTCAAAGTGAAATCTGGTTTCCTTGAATTTGGCCTTGTTTCTGTTAGGTAATTTGTAAGTGAATAACTGCATCATAAAACTTACAACATTATGGAAAATTGCTTAGGGTTGTTGTCATAAATGTCATTAGCCTTGCAAATAGAGCCCTAGAATATATTTGGGAAGAGTGGAGTTTAAACAGTTCATGGCAGTAAGTCAGCTAATAGTGGAAAGTGTTCAATGAATTCACTAGTCAACACTGGATTGTTGTTGCACGAAAGTAGGAGTGGCTAAGGAAATTGCTTTTGTTGATCCTCACAACGGTGTTCTTCAGTTTGAGCTCTTGTGCAGCGTCCCACCCAAAGCATGAGCCTTTATTTCCTTTTGCATGCAAAGTGATCTGTTGTGCAACTTCAATATTTATTTTTCATTTTGGAATCTTAGTATTGGCATACATTGTAGTGAACAGAGGAAAAATTAGAATGACCTTTAAGCCAAAGTACTGAACTCTTAATATGTTTGTACAAACCTGCAATTTGCCAGTGAGAACATTATTAAGGAAAAAGCCCATCATGGTTGTTTCTAGTTTGTTATAGTTCTGGACCAAGAAATGAAAATTGGTGTGATGATTTCCATTTCTCACATCCAGCACTTTTATGTTTTGAGAGTCTGTTCTGTTTTATTGCTGTAGGCTCAAGTCTACTTAGTTACAACTGCCAACGTGTATTAAACAACTTTGTCATTAGCCAAAAAGACCTTGCATCCAAATCTTCCAGCCTGCCCTTTAGGCTGTTGTAGACTGAATTTACTGGAGATGATGAACTGCTCTGTTTGTAGGGTCTTATTGAATACTGCCTCCTGGCTAGTGGATTGGAAGGTCCTTTTCTCAGTTTAGTAAGCAGACCATAACAGCTTGGGCCTAAAACAAAAAAATGTGCTCACAAAAATGGGGCCTGATTTATTCACGCCATAATGGTGACTGACATGGGAAATCAAAATCATTACCTTGATTTCAGTTTCTTGCGTGAGCTGACAGACTTGCTTGTAATTTCTAATGTATTTGTTGATGGCCTGTAGCATTGCACAGTAACACTTCATAGAATTTTCTACTTTTGGTGGAATCACTTTTGCAGTATTTGTTTCTTCTTGCTGCAGCACTATTGTAGAGGGGCTGCATTATTGAATTGATAAAGAATTTAAACTGTGCTATTTTAGTACAGTCATACTCTGTCAACTGTAGACCTTAATTAGTCACCAAGAAAGAATGAAGGAGCCTCCCCTTCATCCCAGTGAGCAATTACTCAGCAATTCAAATAGGCTCTTGTATATATCATGTTGTCTTAAGGCTGTTTTACAGTGAAGGACTGCAACTGTTGGGAAATGTATGGTACTTCAGTGAGGTTCCTTAATACCTGTTTATGAAAGATTGTATTTTTGTGTGGTTACAATTCAAAACACACATCTAGATTCCTTCATGTTGACCTGATGAGAAACATGAGTTTCCACCCTCTTGATTGTAAGGAATGTGATATAA